GAGAAATGAAACGCAAATCACTATCTTAAAATTAAACAGACTTATTGATATCATTATTGACTAAAATAATAAATCTCGTTTATAATTTGAGTTATTGCAGCAATTATTCTGCTGTTGAAACTAAAAAGCATAATATTGTGTACTTAAAATCTGTTGCGCAGTTCCATATTTCTTTAGCTAAGTACAGCTTGGCCTGAGTACAACTTGGCCTGATAACCCAGACCGTTATTATCTCAGTTTATCATTGCCTCCGAATATATACATAGAAATGCATGTACCTTGACACGCATTAATAGAATACATTCGCAATACGCATATTGATATATATGTCACATGGTCAGAGAAATAAAACGAAATATTATCTTATCCCTGTTTTTCAGAAGCAGTTGTGCTTAACATCACCCTTATCAAGGAAATAAAATAATGACAGAATCCAGAACAGTTAAAAATTTTTAGCTTTATTAAAAACAAATTGCAATTTTGATGTATTTGTTTTTTTTTCTAAATAATAATGTCAATTATTTACATCAGTTGAGTATTACGCAAAACATTGCGTTCTCGAAGAAATCCAGCAAATAATATCTCCTTAAGATCGTAAAAACGTCTCGTGATTCTTAGAGAGAACGTTCATTAAACATGTCCTTCCAAGAAAACAAATCAAACTCATTATAATCATGCAATTATTTGACGTTTTAATCCTTGATATTAGATTCTTATATCCTTCATGCCATAAGATTATTTATAAATAGAAACAAACACATGCAATGCTTATAATTCATTCTTTATTGCATTAAAAAATAAAAAAAAATCGTTTTACCTTTAGAACTTTATCAGACTTCTTTGTGACATTCCGAAATAATTATTTTAAAGAGAAAAGAAATTATTACTCTGTCTATACTAATAATAATATAATCTCAATTCTTGGCCTCATTATAATTTAATTTTCATCACATTGATAATAGCAATTAATTCACAATTTAATTTTCATCACATCGACAATAATCTAACGACCTTAAATGTTTATAGAAATATCATCTTCACTTTCTGCAAATATTTAATTATTTATTCAAAGAAATTAAACTGCGCAGCAGAAAAAATTATCATCCACCTTTCAACGCTACATGTTGCAAACTTGAGACGCATCATATATATTTGCAAGCAAGGTCTTTCTCGTTGCTGTCATCATCAAACAAAGAAATTAGCTCATCGACTCATGTTCATGTCAGCATTGTCGGTTCTCGTGACACTCATACGACTGCGTCGAAAATGAAAACAAAAGCGCTGCAAGGGGGCATGCAATCGAAACTTCCCCCGATTTTCCCCGAAATATCCTGACTCTCCGTGGAAGTCGCGCGACGTCGAGCGGGTACACGGACTCACCAATTCCTGCGCGTTTATTAGATGGCCATGCGCGTACAAGTGATGCGTCGGAGAGTGATCGTTCAGGGCTCTCCACGCCTTCTCCGAGAGTTGCGACGGTACCCGGTTCAAGGGGATGTTCACCGGGTTCGACCGCACCACTTGCGCGATCAAGCAGACCAGGTAGAGGAGCGCGAGGTGACCCGCGCGACTTCGTTCTGCCATTTTGCGACGCGCGTCGTCGCGCTCAACTCTGCTCAGGATCGACCGCACTAAACTCTCGTATGACAGATCGGGACTGCCTATAAACAATCTCCGACTGTCAGCGACTGACTGACGTTAGTGACGTTCAGACGCTCCGCGATTCGTCAATCTGTCGTCTGTCCCTCTCACTCCTCGTAGCCACTCTCAGTTGCACTGGATTACCCTGGGTTATCCTTCCAAACGCTCGGAAGAAGACGGGTGATGATCGGGTACTGTCGAAACCTATGAGAGAAAGAGAGAGAGAGAAGGAAATGCAGGAGTAGATTCTTTTTTTTGCAACACGCAAAGTGACGGAAGTGATTAGAATTATTAGAAATCTATTTGCGTCATTTATGTATAAATATAAATGCATTCGTATGCGTTTTAATAAAGGACAGAAGAAAAAGAAGAATAACGTTGCTTCTTCTAGCTGTTTCATTTCCTGTTTTTCTTTTCTATTTAATTTAAATTTCCATGCAGAATAGAGAGATGAAACAAAGTGAATATAATTAGAGAACAATTAAGACAATATACGAATACGATTTTAATTGGGTTCTTCAATTTTATTAAAGTTTTCAAAAAATTAAGTAAAAAAGTCATGTGCGTACATACATTTTTGTTTCAAGCAATAGTTTTGGAGTCTCTGTAAAATTGACACTTTATTTTTAAAAATTGGAGATTATTATCAATAGCTCTATTTACACCCATAAAAGTTTTACAACTTGATAGGTTTTAAAAATAGTTCCGTTGATTTAATAATCACGTAAATTCACATATATTTTTGCTGCATAGAAATGCAATAAAAATATATGTAACATAAAGTTTGTATTTAAAAAAAAATGAAAAGAGAAATATGTAAAAATCATATTTAAAAAAACGTATCTTTTAATGAAAAGCAACAAACATAAAAAAAATATGTTGTTTTTTAAATAAATATGCTTTTATTCACGGCGTATTTGCTTAGTAATTAAATTCGGGAAATCCGCTAAATTACACATGCACCAATGATTAAATTCAATTTTGAAGCGCACAGCTGAGTTTTCCTTGCATCGTGAGCGTTCGTCAATTGTTTGATTGCGTTGAATCTGTAAATTGGATAAATACACATTCCCGTTCGGTGACTTAACACGAATGTACATATATTATACGTCATTATTCTGTCGTTACTTTGAGAGTCTGTTTGGTTAGTTATATATCTTTAAAGAATTAAACCAATAGAGAGAAGATCAAAAAGACAACATAAAAAAGACATCTTTTTATTACTTTGTAATATTTTTATGCTGTCTGGCAAGAAAGCTTTTAAAAAGTTAAATAAAAAAGTTATTAATAAATTTTTTTTTTAAGCAATAGCTTATGAAATAATAAGGCTTTAAATATTATTAATTACAGATTACGTTTAAACGCTGAAATTTATATATAAAACGCACACTTATTTATTAATACTATCACACGCGCGAAAAATTAATTTTCTTGAAACTTGTGGTGCCACGCGAAGTTGGGACCTCATTTAATTTTTTTTTAGCTAATGCTAACTGTTCCAATTAACACTGAATATTCATACAAAGTTCGATTCGTATTACTCAGTGTGCCAAATATTTCGAAACAATAATATACGGACTACAATCTAGAATTGAAACGGTCAAGAATCGCTGAAGTGACCAAATTATTGACATTACAGTCGTATAAAAATCTCGAATTGACTGAACGGAATCAAAAATCCTCTTACACAGAATTAAAGTAAATGCAAAATTAGGAAATGGTGCAGTGGATTTTATACTAAAATCGAAAAAAAGTTAAGTAAGTTTTTTAACTATTTTGAGGGGAGGGTAGCTATAACCTGTAGATCCCCAGTGAGAAATGATAAAGTAATCAACATCGAATCGACGTCAATTCGATTTTATTGTCATTTCTCATTGGGTTATGCTGTAGCTACCAACATTATATGCTGTCGAGTGACTGTGCGAGGCGCAAACCAGAAATTTACAGCAATTGACATTTCGTTTTATGTGTAAAATTATTAATCCCAAAATTGAACTCTAAGATAAAAAGCACATAAAATTATTATGTGTTCTTCATAGTACAAAATTTTGTTTAAAAAGTGATTCAGGGACGATTGAACTTGAAATTTCTGGCAACATTAAAATTTTGCGGAATATATATAGAACATTCTCGGAATATGTAACGATATATTATAAATGGAATTTTTAACCGATATTTGAATGTTGCTTTTACATTTCGTAAATACTTAGGAATATTTCAGAATACTCTTGAAACGCTTTTTGGGAATGTTAGAAATCTTTCATGAATACCTATTTCAGGAATATTAGCGTGCTTAGGAATAGTTAGCGGAGGTATAATTTGTGCGAGAATGAACATGCATAATTGAATGTGGGAAGACAGAGTTCAGCATGCGCTTTGCTAAAAATAATGATTCGTTGTTCCTCGTGTATGACATGTGTTGTCAATCTGCATGACGCGTTAAATAATAGAACTAGGATAATATATATATATCTGGAATCTGAAATGTGTATGTATAATACTGTATCATCGAAAACATGGAGAGAGCAATACAGCATCTGAAATACGAAAGAACAAAATTAATTAACTAGTATCTATCGGACTCTCACGTTCTAATTGTTTGTCACTATCGATAATTAATTTTCCTTCATCGTGAAAAAAATAGATGAGTCTTTGCAATAGAATTATAGAATTGCATGTAATATATTACACACAATATAAAAATAATTCATTTACAAGAATATTTTTTTAGGTATAAAATAGAAATAGAGAGATAGAGAAAGAATTTTTACCAATGTAGATTAACTTTAATCTTGGTTCAACTTAAGCCTTAAACACACAATGCGAGGCGATAGCGATAGCGATAGACATAGCGATAGCGAACAGAGGAATCCAACGTACGGGAATCCATTAGCGGGATTCTCTAAACGTCTAATCGACAAAGCAACAATAGAAAACGATCAAAACGAGCAAGAAAGTTAGATTATAATAAAATATATATATTTATGATACAAAATCACTCAATTCTCATACATAATACGTTATTCAACTACGTACGGTCTTCTTCAGTTAGCAAATAATTAAATAATTAACGTAATAATCTCATCGCAAATTAAAAACTGAACTGAATCGGCTAAAGTGTTATCCCACCACTTTAACGATTCTCTGTTCTCTGTTCCTTTTATTGTACAGAGCCCTTTATGCGTTATGCAAAAGTGTGTGCTGTGGCCTTTAAAAAGTGGACGTATGTACCCTAAGAAAAGTGGACGTTGCTATGTAGTTTACATCCACTTTGTCAGAGGACAGTAGTGCGCGGCAGCATTCTGCGGTTACAGGTTTTGGGCCGGCATGTCTTCTCTTTAGGTTTAGACAGGTCTGTTCGCGTTGCGTGCACTTTTGGCATTCGAACCACGTGTTATGTTTGAAGCCATTGGAATATTTGGAATATTGACTTGGAGTAAAATAGTTCAGTGTATGATATCACATTTTTACCTGTACCAAGTAAGGAATTATACAAGATTATTTAAATAAGTAAAAGGATGCTATGTTGCTCTGTGTAAAAACGGTCGGTGTTCGTAGTCAGCGGGTCCTGGATTTAATTTTGAATCTATTCTATTTTATACATGCCTCGGTTTTATAGAGGGTTGATTGAAGAATAAAGGAGTATGACATAAACAATTAATCCATTTTTTACAAGTATTTCGATAAGATAAAAAAAATAATAATTTGAATGTATAAAGTGTGACAAAAATAATTTGATTTATATAAAACATAACTTTATCTCATTCTTTTCAACATGCTTTCAAGTTTGATGGGTCCATCAAGATCATTTCTGAAATGATTTGAATGTATATTAAGAATGATTGAGAAGAATCTTGTTATTGCAGATTTCGATACGTAATTGAAAGTAATGAAGAAAAATGTTGATATCACAGATTTTGATGTCTAATTCAGAATATGAAAAAGATATCTTGATATTATAGGTTATATGTATATATATATATATATATATATTAAAAATTTGTTATTTTTTATCTTATTAAAATATGAGTTTTTTTAAAACATGATACAGAATCTATATATTCTTTCGTTTACAATCTCTATGTTTTAATCATCCGATGGGAATCGAGACTTGAACCTGAGACTCGTCAATTATATGAGTCAAATGCTCTCATGGAGCCACATATCATCCTGACATATTGTTATTATTGGTCTTAGTATTCTAAGAATCAATTTGATAAAGTCCCAAGTTGAATTTGTATTTTGTAGTGCAATCGAAGATAGATAAAATAAACAATGCTGATACGGCATTGGCACAGAGTGATAATGAAGATGACAGTGACTATGAAGAAAATGAAAAAGAAGATGAATCAGACAGTGAAGGAATGGAAGCTGACACAGATGAAGCATCATATGATGCCGGATCTACTACAAATGCAGGCTGGGCTGATGTTATGCAAAAGATTCTAAAAACAAATAAACCGAAGAGAAAAAAAACACTTGTACTGGCCAAGGCAAAGAAGTTGTGCGATATAAAAATAAAAGAGAAAGAAGATATTCCCTTCGAGATTGATGGCATCAAAGAAGAGATTAAAACAGAATCAGATAAAGATATTAATAAGACAACTGTTACACTGAATACTGCATCAATTAAATCAAGAATAACAAAAAACAGTGGTATCAGAATAAAACCATCCATTACAGATCGAGAGCATGAAAAAATGTTGCAAAAAATAGCCACAAAGTAGGTATTAGGTTTGTAAATTTTCTGTCATTTATACGTTGATAAATTCTTTATGCTGTATTTTGCAGAGGAGTCGTGCAACTGTTTAATGCAGTAAGACAGCAACAAGTGGAAATTAAAACGAAATTATCGCAAGCGGGTCCATTAGAAAGAAAACGCGAACAAGTATATAAGAATATTGACAAAAACGCTTTCCTTGATATTCTTATGGGTGGCAGTAAAAGTATACCAATTGATAATGGTGTTAAATCTGAAAAGCCTGTTAAGCAGACAGATGATAAAGACAAAGTGAGAAAATCGTTACACATAAGAAAATATAAATAAATATTATGAATATTATAAATTAGGTTGATATTAACATGTTCAATATTTTTATATTGGTATTAAAAAAATAACAGTAATATACTATTTTACCTTTTTTTATAAACATTAAATTTTTTAATGCATTTATATGAAGGCCATATATAATTGTGTTTATTGATATTGGTACATTTTGTTTTACATTGCAATGTACAATTGTGTATAACAATAGAAACATGCTTGTTTTAAGGATCACAAAATGTGGAGTGTTCTTCGAGACGACTTTGTTATGGGGGCTAAGTTGAAAGACTGGGACAAGAAGAACGTAGAAGAAGAAGATTCTTCAGCTCCTGAGGATATAAACAGCGATGTAGATTAAAAATAAGATCTTTCTCCTTTTTTATACGACTCTTTTAAATAACTATAATTAGTCATAAAAATATCGATATCAGTTGTGTACATACATAGTTAACTGCATTGATATTTCTTGGAATAAACATGTAAATATTGTGAATTGTAAATTATCTATGGATTTTCGAAACGGATTATTCCTTTACTCATTTAATTTTCCAATAAATCTCTTGTAAAATCAAATCATACATGAGAGAATCGGAATCCGTCGACTACAAGTTGACTGTCATACCTAAATGTGAATTGAGACTCTTGTTTGCTCACCACTACTATCTTAAATTATGACATCAAAAATGAAAAAATAAAAATAAAAATTCTTGTAAAATATATTAAAATGAAAATATATTTTATTGGAGCACAATAGATAGACTTGTAACTATACCGGACATTTCTTTTGTTTTTCTTTAATTAATGAATAACCATATATCTAAAAATGAATTATAAATATATATATAATAAAAAACGAAATAAATTATATTCATAGTTCTAACAAACTATCAAATTAATAATACATAGATATAATACATAGATATAAATATTTAATTTCTCCCTGAAACAAAAAGATAGTTTTCAGTATATCTTAATATAGATCTACGCTGTTGATTGCAAATATTTTATTGAAAACTATTTCTATATTAAAATATAATGTAATTTGCAAGATTTTTTGTTGTATTTTCTCGTTTTTGACGTCACGATCTGAGATAGTGCTAAACAGGAACCCCACAAAAACTTAAGTATAAATTTACTCATTTGTGCATTCATAAAGTATAACTGGCCTTGCCTTCCGTTTTTTACAGTTCAGTATTCATTATAATTAAATATAACAATATATATGTACAATGTAAACTATATTTCTCATTATCAGAAACAAAATTTAAATTGATATCGTTTATTAATTTATTGATATATTGATCGTTATACTTAAGGGGATATTCCTTTTCGATAAAATAACATTATATTTTACAAAATAAGTTGCTTCTTATCGTTTTATTATGATTAGATTCAAAATAAAGAAAGAAAAAGAGCTTGGTCGAAATAATCAGCTATTGTAAAACGAAAAATTCTGTTGTCTATATATTGTTCATTTAGCAATCTAAAAACTAGGAAGGCACACAGTATTTATATACGCTTCACGCACAGAATTTTATTCTCAGTATCTCTCGATCAGTGATTTGTCCCTATGATACACGGTAACAGTGATAACGTGTGTATAACTTTTATATTCTTTTTATAATTATCTTACACGTATATATGTGTACATAAGAAGTGTATCTAAAGCCAACACCGTTCACTTTCTGAAATATGCTTCGATTTGACGTTTTGATACTTTGCTGTATCTGATAATCCAATGTCAATATAGATCTTTCTTTGGTTCCTGAAACTCCACTAATATGTAATACATTTCATTTAACTGTTTTTCTTAATTTTCGTTATATTATTTCATTTTTTTTCTTAATCGTCAGACATTTCCGTCTTACCACTTTTTACAAATATTAAAATCGTTCGATGTATCCAATGGATAGAACCATTCAAAAATAGTGAGGAGAGAGAGAGTGTATTCTATAAATAATATAAGAAGCGCGTACTATTTTTTTAATGGTATAACACTATTTATAATGGGCATGATATCTGTTTAGCTTATCTTTAAAATATCAAGGGGAAGGAAACCGCTAATCATGATTAAATTGCTGTGGGTGATGCTTGTGAAACTTAAGCGCGCTTGTTGAAGCCTGGACGGACTGAACTAACTTTGCTATGATTCGTTTGTTAGATTTAAACACAATATTTCCCATACAAACGCTCACATTTAAAACTGCTCGAATTTTGTTAACTTCTTGTGATCGATGTTTTCTTGTCAGGAAGGACTTCGATTATGTAACATAATTTATCGCATGATTGAAATATTGATCTACGTTATTTTGTAAAAACTGTACTTTGGTATTTTTAATATTTCACATTATCTAATATGTCTCAAAAGAACTTGTGATTATCTTTATGTTTTCTTTTTTCTCTTTCCAATCTTTTCTGGTCGCCATACATTATAAACTTTCAAGAAAAAATCGTTGTTCAATACTGTACGATAATCTATCAGAAATATGCATGTGTGTGTGTATGTACGTGTATGTGTGACGAATTTTACTAGACTGTCACGTACAATTATATTGTCACATATATATATACATATACAGTTATAACATCGTCTTATATTTCCTGCACAATGCAATATTTATCTTGTAACCACAACTTCTTGACTCAATTTCCATAATTCTTAATCCTGGATATCAACTTATTTGTGTGTAAATATGATTGAAACAATATCCTATAACTTAAAGTAGAAACTTGTCGCAATTTCTGTTAAATTGTCTTGTCACGCAACTTTCTTTCTCTATCGTGCGAGATGTAGTATACCGTATATCAAATTTACATGGTATAAAGGGCACAAATAAATTCCTTTTCACGAAATTAAAAGAAGACGTTAACGTTAATTATAAACTGGAACGCTACGACATTATTAACAAGCTCTTAATAAAGATGACGAAGATGAAAATAATTATTTGGTCATAATTTGAACTACGTCTTGTTTGAAGAATCAATTTTCGAAATTTTCTACTTTTAAAGCATTTCTGACAATATCCGGTTAATGCCCCATTTGGCAATCACTCGAAAAAATGCGAACGCACAATTAAAAGTCTACATTACACTCTGCTCTCACGAATATCGGCGAGCGCGCCGAAATTACCGGCCTCCTCGTCGGGATACTGAACTGCCTCAGCTTCGTCCTGATTTCTGTCTTCATTCTCTAGTCGCCTGTTCCTCGCAAAGTACCTGGGATCATCCTCGACAATGTTGCGATTGATCTCATCTTGCAATTGGGGATGATCAAGATGCAGATTCCTTATGTTCTGATCCTCGAGGTACATTCGAGGTCGTTGATCTTCATCGATACGTCTATCTCGCGCAACCTCGATCTCTTCGGGATCAGGTAACCTGACGAAAACTTGATGTTGGTCTCCATCGCGATTCAATGAATTCCTGCGACTATCTTGGCTCAATCTGGAAGCGCTGCGGGCGCGATTCCTCGTATTCATCAGCTCATTGCCGGCGACTTGATAATTGTTACGGCTTACGTGCCGATGATTCTCGTTCTCGTCGAGCGGAACGCGGAAAGACATCTCGTCATGAGACGCGCGGAAGGTTTCGAGGTTCGCATCGTTACTGGAGACTCGCGGCATCGTCTCCCGACTGAGTCGATAGAGACTAAGCTCGTTGTCCACGTAAAAGTTGTCTAATGGATTGCTGATAATGGACGGATTGCGCGAAACATTCCGTCGTGGGTAGCTCTGTAGACTAGATAGACTTGTCACCGTAGCATAAGGATGATATCCAGGGATCGAGTTTAACGGATTACCAATGATATGCGGACAGTTGTCTAAACTTTGCATCTCAATCTCTTCTTTGCCATCACGACAGTAACCATGCATATCAATTTCATGCGGTAAATTGGCGAATCTGCGAATTGAGTTAAATTTAAAATAATCAATATTAATATAATAATAAAATAGTTATTAATAATTAATAAAATTAAAAATAATTTTCTGGTTTATTTTAAAATAATGTACCTGTGTAAAAGGATGTCAGAATATGAAGGAGGCATGTCAGTTTCCTCTTTGCCATAAATACTCTCGTAAGTAGGTGGCGGAAAACATCCGACGGAACCTAAACTGTCTTTGCTAGGTGTTTCAGCATCCATTTCGAGGATACTGCCTTGACTGCTCTGTAACTGATGACGATTTACGCTTCGTGGATTTCTCTGAGCGCGCAACACACTATCGCCAAGTTCCACCAAGTCTAAACCTGCCAAAAATTTTATAATCGTTTTATTTATTCTAAAAAAAATCATCAAAATTTTATGCCAAGAATTTTACAGCAAAATATATGTATTGACTCTTTATAATTTATATGATTTTATCAAACCATATATATTTAAGAAACGATCATGTAGATTATATTCAAATTCTTTCATTGCAGATACTTCACTTAAAAACTACAAAATTTAACGTTTTCTCCCTCATTTTTATACGCAATATATTTGATATATGCGTATTATCAAGGATGCGTTCTACTTGGCGCTCACAATGCTGGCGAGCATTTGTCTTTGTCTAATATTTGATAAACAATAAGAATGAAATGATTCAAAGAGCATTGCGAATGCCAAGTGGAACGCAGTCCAAGAAATTCCTTAATATCATCTTTAATTTATTTCTTACTTTTTAATCCTCTACATCTACATTATTTTCTAAATAATGGATTTTACTATTTTAATTCGCTCCACTTGCGTAGTCGCTTTCTTCAATTTCAGAAATCCTAAATTTTACCTGTAGGATCAGTCTGGAACTGAGTGAAAATTGTGCCGTCAACGACAAGCATTCTGCCATGCGGCAGGAGGATGATTGTCGGCGTTGCTACCATGGCCTGATCGCTGCCGCCGAACCGTGGATCCGGATCAGGATCTTCCAGACGACAGCAGCAATGTCGTCTGCATAGGGATCGGCAGAAGGGCGCACCCCAACAGCAATAAGCAAAGATGAAGCACAGAACGGCAAGCATCACCATAAGGGCGGCCACTCCTTGACCTTGCTGAGCGGCCGCGAGGGTCGGCCCGCCGGCGACGCCGACGCCGACGCCAAACCCTCCGCTACTGCTCATTTCACCTATAATTAAATAGTTGATCTTATTTTCTAACATATGTTTTATTTATGAAAGGATGGATTTATATATAAAATCATGTGGCTTATTAAATCAAATTTTCAAAATTTTTTTTTGAATTTCTTAACAATAAATTTATTGAATATTTTATTTTTTCCATAATAAATTACATATTTTTAATGAAAAAATTAAAATTCTTAATTTTATCTTTTTTATAATAATTGTCTTTTAATTAAAAATAATTTTGAACAAATTAATATAAATTTTCTCTATTTTATTATAATTAAAAAATCTTTTTCTTTATTGATATAATACAGACAAGAATATAATATTATTGATTATTAAGATAAGATTATTAAGAATGCTTCATAAAGCAAGTAAACTATAACTAATTATCGTTGATCTGTGATTACATATTAAAATTTCGAATTTAAATTACTTCCTGTTTATCGTATACCTTATGAATAGCGATGAATATTACGTGGACGAAACCGTTTTACGTGTGTGAACTCTCTCTTATGCTAATAGGCCGAATTTCATAGTTCTCCCCTTTGACGGCGGTGAAAGTAAAGCTTTATGCGATCA